CAGTTATTATAGCTCCTTTTCCACTGGACAAAAGAAACAACAGTAACATCTGGGTTTTGTATTTAATGGGAAAGATTACAATTGGCATTCATTCCCACGACAAATGGCTTGGAAGTCTATAATGGCTTCAGCTGTGATTGTCTTAGATTGACAGTAATGGAAATACAACAACCAGGTGGATGAGAAAGTTTTCGCCCCCTTTCCGTCGCAATCATGCGCCACCACAAAATACTGTTTTTATCCAAGCAGCCATTAAACATTGTTTAAAATTAGCAGGCATCGAGTTTGAAACAGAGGCTGGAAAATTAACGGATATAAAAAGAAGTACTCACTGTAACATTTTCACTGGCCTCCATGCTGCTTTCTACTGTTCACTAACCCTATTTTCTTGCGCGAAAACAGAAAGGAATAATCATCTACTGCAAAGCCCTGTACATGGCTCTGGTCCACGGGCTATAGGGAAAGAATCTATTGCTTATTTTCAGCAGGTTTTCCAACATTTAAAAAAAATGCATATATGTTCTAATTTTGGTGGAAAATGGGTATGTGAGTGATGGTTCCAGATACAAACGACCTGTTGTTTAAGTATAAGGACGTTTTGTTCAGGGTAGTTGTCACGTCTGCAATTAAAGGTGTTGTATGTAACTCTGGAGACAGACAACTTATTGCTGAGTCTCATTCCCAGGTTGTCAAACACTTACGCTTTGGGTTAGTGATTCAGTCCGACTACCAACCCAAAGCGTAAGTATTTGATGACCTGGAAATGAGACTCAACAATAAACTACCTGACTCCAGAGTTACATACAACACCTTTAAGTAGGTTTTCTGCTCTCATGTGGATTTTTAGAAGAACAGTATTCAGCTGCTTCTGAAATGGCGAGACATGTATGCTATCTTAAGAAAATCAAGTGGATATTACATATATGTAGGCTCAAAGTCGTCAAATAAAGCAGTTTGTCTGTGTTTTCGGCGTCAGACACCTGATGCCAAAAGTTGCCTTTTGCACAGGTATGATACGCTGCCAGGTGGCGTCAGTTAATAAGACAGCCGAACAGAACCTTTCGTGATGTTATGATTTGCCGCCGGTTGGCCAGATGTCCCCTTTTGCAGCAGTATACACGGCTGGACAGCATCAGGTTGGAATGATGTTTTCTTCTAAACCTAACCACATGCTTTTGTTGCCTAAACCTGCCCACGTGCTCTTGTTGACATCCCAGCATTAGTAGCAAGCCCGGTCTCACTCCAAAGTCGGCGAAATCTGGCACTTGGGCGGTGACTTGCGGTGTCAGAAACCAACGAAAAAAGGTGTCCTTTAATGTTGGCATGATACGTGGCCAGTTGCCATTATAGTTGTACGGTGCCCAGCAGCGTCAGGGGGAAACGTGGTGGGACAAGGATAAAAAAAGAATGAGAATGTTCAAAATTGATGTAACAGAGGCTGAGGCCCCGAGTTGTAGATCAACCCTGAAAACACTAAATCTTATAAAGTCACATTATGCATTTTAATAGCAGTTTGGTTCGACTCTCCCTCCTGCCTTGTAAATGCCCACAACCTGTAAGCTTTCTGTTTTAAATTTGAAGCCTCAAGCTGGTTTGACCCTGACGGCATCATCAGGATACTTTTCTCAGACTTTATAAAAGTCCTCCAGAGCCGCAGAAGACACAGTAGTCATCCTCGTGATGAGTAAACTTGATCTTCTTGTGTAAAACTTCTCCAAGAACACATTTTGATAAAGAGAAGATTGGGATGTGTCACGTTTTCCATACTCTTCCACCCTTGTTTGCCCCCTATGTAAGTCTACAAAAGCAAAGTACTAACATGCCTTTAACCCCTCAGGACCACCTCACCCTTCTCTCCACCCTTCTCTTTCTATTCCTGTCTCTCCCTCATGGGGCTGGATGCTTGATCTGCTCTGGAGAATCAGCGAGAGTCTGAACCAAGCACCGGATCAGAAACAAGTTAAAAGTAAAACTAGTGGCCTGGATACGTCCACTCCAGTCTCCCTGGTGTTACTCACACTCCTCAAACGTGAGTACAAGCCTGTCACGGGCATCTGTTCCCCTACCTATCATTCATTTCTGTCCCCATATCCCCAACTTTAAATGATTCAAATTAAGAGTTTAAACTCTATTTTTCAGCCTCACATAAATGTTTTATATTACAGATAGTGGGAATAATATACCCTTCCTTTCATCTTTATTGCATGTGTTCAGTGAGCCGAGTATTTTAGAGAACATTGTCCTCTCACTTTTAATCTCCTACATCCTCTTTGTCTGCGTTTCGCTCTGTAGTGTTTTTGACCTCCTCCTCCTCCTCCTCCTCTCAGCAGGTTTGAGTCTGATTGTGCGCCGCAGCTGAACTGGCAGCAAACCTGCAACCACAGCAAACAACTGGAGGTGAACGGTAATGAACTCATGTCCTCTGTGAAACACACACCGCGAGCGCTGAGGCAGGAAGGCTCTCTACTCCAGCTGTATACTGGGTCGGAAATGCTGTGAAACATCTCCATGGGTGCTGCTGCAAATCAGGACTGCCCCAAAAAGTCACCCAGTGTACAGTTTTGCTGTCTTTAAGAGGCAGTTGACTGCCTTTTTTAAAGCAGTGAGCTCAGAGATAAGGAGGAACTGGTTGCCGGCATGCTGATGGGTGCTAATCAGCCAGGACACAGATGTGGGAAATATCAGACTGTCTGTTCCTGGACCAGGACCTGCTCTGTGTCACACAGCAGACAGACCAGACAGCACCCATGTGTGAAAGAGATGACCTCAGTCACACACTGAAGAAATGGAAAGAGGCAGACGCGCTGCTGTCGGACCTGATAATGTCTTTTAATTAGTCATCAGAAGTAAATGCAACACCAATATGTCATTCTGAGTTGTGAGAAATTCAGACGCTGTTTTTTAGCTCCGCCTGTCTCCCTTCAGCAGGCCCTAATTTGTCACAAAGCCAGCAAGCTCCTTAAGGGAAAGCCGATCCACCCGAGCCACGTTTCAGCGTCTTCCTTTGCCTAACAAATTCCTACAAGTCACTCACTCTGAAAGAAAGCATTGTGATTCAACCAAACATACTTCACTGGTGGAAAGGGAAGTGGGAGTGCATGTGTCTCTGGTAGACTGCCCCGCCACTTGCTCAGAAAGCTTTCCCGCCTGACCTACAGTAGGCTGACAAGACCACAGGCTGGCCCATAGAGAGAAATGCTGTCTTCAAGTGCTGCTTGTAAAACTCACAACTTTAAATACAGGCATGACAATTCTAAAGGCCTGGGGTATGTTTAAGACATGTACAATATGTTAGCCAACTACTTTTAAAGCTAAAGTGTTTACAGCTTCTTTAAATAACCACACTGAAGGGCACAGAGACAGGATGATGAATTTTACAAAGAGTGATAATAGCACTCACTTATTGGCCAATCAGAGGCCAACCATTATGGTTTGCCCTGAGATTTACCAGTAGACTTACTTGATTACTGGTTTTGTATGTATTGCTTTTAAAATTGTATTATTCAATGTATATATTTATACATTGCTAATGATAGACTAAATACATGCAGACTGTGAGGCTGATTATGCAGCTCATGGCCTCTGATTGGTCTCATCTTAGTAGGCATTTTCTTAACCTGATGAAGGTCTGACAACCAAAATGTTGTTATCTAATAAAGTTTATTGCAAGTAACACGTCAGTGTGCAGGAATTCCTTTTCTTCTCTTATAGACACTTTCCTCTTACGTTCCTGTCTACAAGTTTATTAAGGTGTGCATGAGCTTCTTTTAGGTCTTAAACTGGAAACCCCAGAAGTGATATCATTATCAGACCATAGCCAATGTCACTTACGCCATCAAATTTTAGAAATTCGTGGTGTTTCTTAAAGTCAAATTTGAAAGGATTCGTCCTACCAAGGAAGGATCCTACAGAGGCAAGGCAAGAATCCTTTGTAGCATTTGGTGAACACAAGTCCCAGATGTCTCCAGATGTGCGTCATTAACCCTCAGCAGACAGAGGGGGTTTCAGACTAATGTGACAATTTTGGCGCTCTCTAATGTCGTTGTTCAATTTGAACATATATGAGCACTGTATTCAAAGCCATGTGACTTTTTAGGGAGATTATATTTCTAGATTGTACTAAACAAACAGGTAGGCGAGATAAAACTTTTGTGGAACTTAGCGCTCCATCACTGCTATGAATAATTAAAAACGTTTATGTTTTATCTAAATCACAGTATTTTCAAAATCAATTTTTTTTAAATTTTTTATTTAACCTTTACTTAACCAGGAGGTCCCATTGAGATTGAAAATCTCTTTTACAAGAGAGACCTGGCCAAGGTAGCAGCCAATCAAAACATATTTAAAATGCAACAAACACAACATACGTATAATAAAAAATATCCATAATAAAACAACTAATTCAGTCCAATTTAGCAGTGGATAAATTGGAAAGCATAAATTATGAGGTTTCTGTAAATGCATTGTAAGTAATTTCTTATCCTTGTATGATAAAAACTCCTGCAGATATTAATCCAAATAAATGATATATTCATCTAGCAAATTGTGTGCAAAGAATTGTGGGTACTTTATACCCGCTGAGGATACACACATGCATGAAAATTCTCTGAATAATCTGTCCTTGACTTTGAGAAACCTCCTCTGTTTGTCAGTTGTAGCCTTCTGCTTGACATCAGTAAAACTGTAATTAGCTAAACTGTTAGCTACTTTGCTAAAGAGCTAAAGTATCTTCAGTGGTTGCTAGTTGTTGTTTGATCGGTAGCAGTGTGAGGAACACTTTAACAACAATATCTGCTGAGGAAACACAATGAAGAGAAAACACTGACAGAAAAAAAGCATTTAACTGAAGTTTAAACTGTTTTTAAACGACAAAAATGAACAAAAACCCTTGTATTAGCTTTGAGTTGTTTTATTTCCCACAACACGTGAAGGAGGCACGAGGACGGGCATCGTGGCGGAGGGGGCGGGGCGATGCAAATGAGGCAGCCGTTGAGTGAATAGAAGCTCCGGGCTGCTGTAAGCGGAGCAGGGACCGGCAGGGACACTTGCTGTGGACACAGGAGCTCAAAGAGAGTGGACACCGCTTACAGAGACACGACACATCACTTTCACTCGACCCACGACACCGCAACATGGCTTCAAAGTGCCCAAAGTGTGACAAGACGGTGTATTTCGGTGAGTGCTGCCTGCTTTTATTCATCTCTGCTTTTCAAATTAGTTTTGGGTCATGATGGTGAATCCCGACTGGTAGCCTGAGAGATCGATGTGTTTGGGGACAACGTGTCTCACAGTTTTTGTAATGAAAGACCTGCTTCATTTACAAATTTAATGAGTAGGGTGCATTTTAAGATATAAAGGAGTTTATTTCCATTCATTGAAAAAACATGCGTTTCACTTAAGTAGAATTAAACTGTATTGAGTTACTGAATTTACATGTACTAAAAATGGCTACTTTTTAAATGGACTTTTGAATGTGTGCAAACATTTAGACTACTTCTGTGTTTAAATTTCAACATATAGTAGTATATTTAAAATTATTTTTGTGGAGTAAATTTGACAGTAGCCTAATATTGGATCCATTAAGCTCAATATTGTTTTGGGCTTTTATGTTCAGTGGTGGGAAAAATGTGAAGCCTTCCTGCATTTCCCAAAGGAATTCCTTACAGTAGTGAAATTCATAGCATTCCTTAGATTAGGCATTTTTGAAGGGGAAAGGGTTGCTGTCAATGTAAATGATTCACAGAGGCAAACTTTGGGAAAGCTGGACGAGCAAATGGGTCAATGTAAACAAAAGACCTGACAGCAAATAATTCAAAATATGTTTTCTTTTTATAATGTATAAGATGCGTGAGAGAAAACATGCTGGTTCAGCACTAAATTCACAAAACTGCATAAATGATTAATGTTATTTTGACACTGATCTGTGCCATTTTCAATTTGTTGTGTTTGGTAAACATCCAAAGCCTGGCAGTTGGCTTCAGAGGGCTGCTGACGGAGGCCCTTGCCAACAGTGCAAAAATGCCATATGCTGAGATTGCCCACTCACGGAGGAGCACGGCAACATCATGCTGCGTCAGTGAGATGAAAACATGTAAACATGCATCTTTTGCATCCTTGTAAACAAAGATGTGACAACAAAACACCCACTTGGGCACAGAGTCACACTTAGTCACAGCGATGGCACCATGTATTTACTATAACAGATGTTTACAGTTATAGAAACGCACACAGATAAGAGCAAAGCGGAGGATTACAGGAGCTCAGGTCATGAAGATAAACAAAAATTTACGTCTCTGCTTTTGAATCTGAAGGCTGTGCATGTGCACCCTGCTCTGTGTATTTTTAGGGGAACATGCTGCTGTACTGTTGAATAATCCTGTGTTTATGTTTGGCCGCATGCTGGGAACAAAAAAAATGTGTTCTTTGCCGCTGATCTTTTCTACACTTCACAGCACAAATCAGAGCTGTCACGGGGGTCAAAATCAATTATGTGAGTGGATGGCAGTCCTCTTACGTAACAGGAGTGGCAGCAAAACACCACAGCTGCTGCTCATCCTATGGGTCCCTGGAGTCAGTGGCATGGAATAAATATCTGTGCAAAATAAGGTTTAATTTCCTCCAATACAGATTTCACGCATGTCTGAGTATTTGTTTGCGCCGCAGCCTCAATACGCTGCAGCGAGTGAGTCACAGCCTCTCGGTGATGTATGTTATTTTTTATGTAATGTGCTGAAATCCATCCTGGTGGAGTTATTTTTGGTTGGGGTGTGTCTTATTGGGTGGAGAGTCTACTTTAAGGATGATGAACAGCTACTAGGAAGCAGGACGGGTGGAATTAGCTGCACACGTCAAACCAGGGGAGGATGGAGAAAGTGAGGGGAGGTTGTTGATGACATTATTAAAGTCATTGCAAGGGAGGCTGGGAACCTGTGTCAAGGCATGGGAGAGGTCAGGGTGGGAGAAAAGTTCTGCTGCAGCCCACAGCCTGAAGCATCAACATGATGTCAGTGATGGATACTGTAGAATGAGCTCAGCAGCTCCACCTACATACATCCTCCTCTCAGATACTTGGTTCCCCAGAGATGCCAGAAATCCTGTGTTGAGATGGATTTTCAGGTCTGCAGAACAGTTAACGAATAAAAGAGAAGAAAAAACAACCCTTGCTTCTGATCTACACTAGGACATGTGTTATTGATAGAGAAAATTGTCTATTTCCCGTCCCCATTTCCCTCCCCTTTATCCCTTCTTGTGTTGGTGGTTTGTGGTGAAGCTATATAGAGCACTGATTGGCCCACCCTGCAGTTAACCCACCTGGTCCTCCAGCTGGTGCTGCCCAATATTGGATTTAACAGGCAAAGGTTTTCAACACTTCACTCTCCTTTTCTTTACTTGTGCAGAAAAAAGGTTGTTTCACGTGGTGATGGTGGTGAGCCACAGGCTGGGATGGAAAGTCTTTTGGTTTTGTTTTTTATTGTCTTTTTCCGTTTGTTATTTTAATGAACAGCTGTTTTATGGTGGTGATGGTGCAATTTTATCACCATAAAAGGCACGTGTTGACTTTTGCTGCTGTTCTCTTTGCTTGTGAAGTTTCTAAAACCTTAAAGGAACAGTGGCATGTAGTGGTGAGGCAGATTGAAACTAGCTGAAAGTTCTCCCGGTTAGAATTCCGTCAGTGTTCATTGTTCAGGAAGTTTATACCAGGAGCAGGATTATCCGCAGACATCTCTTCCTCTCCAAAACAAACAGATGAGGGGTCTCATTTTTAAAACAATGCATAGGATCCATACTAAAAATGTACATATGGACAAAAGCTAAAAATGGCATGCGGCAAAAATTTTCTACAGTTTCTTCAATCAGGCTTCCACCTCACCATCTGCATCGCCAATTTCCTGTCTCCAAAATGTTCAGAAGCATTGGTCAAAGTTTCTCCCATCAAGTCTGTTTTTATAGACCAAATCTTTTGCATGGGAAGTGGTGTACGTCTCTTTCAGGCCCCATTTTATGCATATGCAGTGTTCATAAATGAGACCCGAGGTGATTTTAAACCAGTAAAAACACTGAATAAAGCAGTTTTGTGTAAAATAAAATCTGGGTTTTTCCGATGCTAATCATCGCAGAGGGCCTGCTAAATACCGTGGCCAACACAAAAACGTGAAAAGGCCTATCTATAGCAAGTGTTTGGTTTGTCCGTTCCAGGCTACTGTAGAAACATGTGGGTGCAACATGGTGATCTCTGTAGACGAGGACCTGCTCCTTATGTAGATATAAAGGTCTCATTCTAAGTTAAGGAGAACACAACAAATCTTATGTTCAGGTGATTACACACTAAAGAAAACATACTTATTATATTATATTCCATTTCTGCCAGTATATCCCCTTAAATCCTACACACTGGACCTTAAAAGTCCCCCCCAAAATGTCTGACCTTGACTATACTGACTTGTATCTGTGCAATTTTCCTAAAACGTACGCAGGACAAGCTAGATTAGGTACGTCACTAATACAAAAGCCAATCACTGTCTAATTCGGAAAACACATATCGATGGGGAAACAGACTTCGACACATGACAGGCTAAGAAACCTGAAACCTCCAGCGTAGAGCAGGTTCCAATTTTTCCCAGTGGCCACTCGCAGTATTGCAGCGACAAAAATCCTCCCGCAGCCCAAAAATTATTTTCCGCATAGACCACCATTGTAAGAGACGTCTGTAGAACTGTTAAAGAACACCTTGAACTGCAAACATGGTCAATTATGGCTCTTTCTGTTATAAAAATCTAATGTTATTGATTCCCATCATATTGCGTACTGCTGTTTTAACTGTCATGCAGTGCTGAAAAAAGCAAAAAAACTTAACGCAAGCAAATCTCTCAAAGAAGGTGAAAGAGAAGTTCTGTTTCCCGCCCTTTTTCATAGTGATTTTCATTGCTATTTGGGAAACCATGTTAAAAAAAATATTACCATTAGTATACATAATGTAAAATGTGTCTGAAGAGGGACTTTAAGTGCACACTTTAAGGAAACCACAGGTTGTTGCTGGTGTTAAAAGAATGTAAATGTCTTTTTTTAATTGTAGGGTTGGCTGACTTCAGATTCCCAGCGTCCACATTGCATCCTCACATCTGTTAGTTCCTGTGGTACAGAGATACTTAGAATACACCAGGGACTATTGGCTGACATGTGACAAGCCCCAGTGGAAATACATTGTTAGCGTGTGATAGAGTCCATGCGGGACACAACACAGCATGGCTCACTAAATCTCTCTCTGCTCCAGACCCAAATTCAGCTGAGCGATCCAGCCACAGCTCTTGTGCATGACAAATTGGAGCAATGCATCTTTGTGCAGCTAAGTGAATAAACGAGAAACTAATGGTGCTCCGCTCGGAGTTTCTCTTTCCCTCTTTCATTCACCAGTCCCTCTCGGTCTCTTTCCTCCTCTTCAGCCACTTGCTCTGCGCCTCGGGCCCTAAATTCCTCTTCCAAAACTAGAAGGACTGGGGGAAATGGGGTGAGATGGCTCGCCTTTATTTAAACGGGAGACTCTCAAAGTGCCTCATGCATTATAATGAGAAACGACATCTCTATTCACACAAAGCTCTTTCTGTCTCCGCGCACGTTTGTTGCTTCCAGTGAGGCGGAATACCTTCGTCTTCTCAGCCTGACGATACGTTTCCCACACCTCTTTTTTTATCCCACTTTTACCCCAAACATCCACACAATACCTTTTTTTTCCTTCCCCTCTCCTCTGTCAGCACCAGAGTACCCTGTTTTCCACTTGGCTGCCCGGTGGGCTGTGTGAATGTGCCTTGTCAGTTATGTAACATCATTTCTTGAGTCGTTGCCTCCCGCTCACTGCCATTGCATAACCTGCCAGCTACTGTGCGCCAGTCAATGAGGGTCCTTTTTCTCTGCCTTTTTGAGGCACAAATATGATCCCCCTAATGGAGACGGCATTAAGCTCGGTGCTGAATGTCAGGCGGCCCCCCCAACACAGGTGAAACTATTCCACCTTGCAGCAGAATGACCTGTTACATAACAGCAGAGGCAAAGGGGACCAAAGTTGTCTTTAGTTCATTGAAATGCCTCACACTTTAAAGATATAATCCTTTAAGATTTTCATTCTATCGAAATTAATTTTTGACATTATTTATACTTTTTTTGTCTGTTTAACTGATAGA